TTGTGAAATTGTTGAAAAAGGACAACTAATAGAAGAATGGAATTCACTAAAATTTTATTTGCAATCCCACAAAAATATAGAAATGAATTTTATTGAAATATGGAAAGATATTTTTGATACAGACAATGATTTTTCTTTCAATTACCCAAATTTAACAATTATTATTAAAATAGCACTTCTTATACCTTTTTCTAATGCACATGTAGAAAGAATATTTTCAGAAATGAAGTTGATAAAAAACAAATTAAGAAACAAAATGGATATAAATACACTGAATAATCATTTAATGATTTTATTAAATGGACCAGATGTCCGGGATTTTGATTTTGAAAAAGCATATAAACATTGGGCAAACAAAAAAAGAAGAAATAGTTGTTATTAATTGATTTTTATTTTTATTAAAATATTATTTTATTTATTTATATACTGTAATTAAAAAATTTATTTTATTTATTTGTTTAATTAAAAAATTTTTTTGATGATCATAAAAATGTGCGCATTTATTATGTAACACAAACCCTGGCATAAAATTTCCAACACTGGATCTGACTGGTGTTTTAACGAGATCACTACCCACTTTTCTCAATACCAGTCAATTATAATTGTCCGAGGTCCTCTATAGTTTGCCTTTTTTTCTGTCGATCAATATTTATCACATCCGAAATTTGTCACCTGCCGTTTTTTTATTTAATTGAAAAATATATTTTTGGTGACCTGCCGTTTTTATTAATATTAATATATAAAGAAATTAATTCTAAAAAAAAAATCATGTTTTTTTATTGCAAATTTTTTTATCATTTGTTTTGATTCAAGGAAATAATCTTGCATTTATATCTTTTTTCCAAAAAGAAAAAAACCGTTGGTAAAAAGTTATTTGCTTATTGAAAAAGTCTGGTGATTTTATAAATTCAATTTAAATAGCAAAGTTCATATGATGACTTTCCATTACTACAATAATAATGATTTAAATATCTTTAATATTTAATTAAATTTTTGTATAATAATAATGGGCTTGTATCATATATATATCACTTGCCTAAAAATTTTAAAAAATTTATGATAAATAAACTTATGATAATTAAAACTTATATATAATAAATAAAACTTCTGATAAAAAACTTGATAAAAAACTCACAATAAAAAATATTTCTTCAGAATTATTAGAAAATAATTTGTATATTGGTTGTCGCGTTTCCTTTTTGGTGTTGAATATGGAAAATCTTTTCATTTTATGATTAGTTTATGATCAGATCTCCTTTTCTAGTAGTCTCGTGGTGCGAAAAAATTTTTTTTTATTCACGCGTTTAATCGTTTTCAATAAAATTTTCTTTAGAATGTCTGTTAAAACTATTAACGAAATTAATGAGCTTTTAGCTCTTTTGGAAGAAGAAAAAAAACATCTACAACAAAATGTATGTATTTAGTTTATTTGTAAAAATATCTACTTATAAATAATATAAATAATTCATAATATATTTTTTTTAAGATAATAAATAAAAATGGAGAAAACAATCATAGTATTAGTGAAAATGTCAATGATAATTGTACCAGTAATGATAATGATATTAGTAGTAGATATAGAAATAATAATGATGATAATGATAATGATAGCAGTAGTAGCAGTAGAAATAGTAATTGCAGAAGTAATAATAGAACTAGAAGTAACAACAACAACAACAACAACAACAACAACAATGATAATGATAATGATAGAAGTGGCAGCAGATATAGTAATCATAGAAGTAATAATAGAATTAGAAGTAACAACAACAACAACAACAACAACAACAACAACAACAACAACAACAATAACAATAGTAATAATAATAATAGTATTCGTAGGCCCAAGAGAAAGACAAACCAAGAAGGTTATATTAAAGCCAGTGAAATTCGTAAATTATTGAAAGTTGATGAAAAAACATATAACTTTTATTTGGTAATTTTTTTATACTTTATATTAATTATGAATTTACTTATACTTATTTATATATTAATTAATTTATTAGGAGGAGATTAGATTTTGTTCCCAATACTATAAAATAGACTTATCAATATCCTATAGACAACAAGATATTACTTTGATTTCAAAAATAGTGGAAATGGTATTATTATTTTTAATTTCTGCATTGATCACTTGATTACACTGATTTATAATAAATAAATATATTAAGTTCAAGAAAAGAAATACAAATTTAGAAACTGGTCATTCAAATTGGATAATTTTGGAACTTATTAAAAAAAATATTCAAAATAGACGTAAGATTTTAATCTTATTAATTTATTTAATTTTAATCTTAATTATTAATATTTATTTTTAAACAAAATTAGGTGATTATACTAAAAGAAAAGAAAAGAAAAGAGCCAATAAAATTGATAATGATGATGGTAAAAATTAAAATTGTAATTAATAATTTTTTTTAAATTGCTTTAATCTTATTTATTTTATTAAATAACAATAGTTTCTGGTGGTAACTTTGCTCCTGGTGGTAACTCCGCTCTTAATGGTGATAATTCTGCTCCTAACAGTGGTGATTCTGCTGTTTCTGGTGGTAATAAAATTTAACGAATGGTGCATCATAAAATTATCTATTCTCAATAATTAATAATAACTTTTTTTCCAGACAATAATCTTGTGAATGATATTGATTTTTTTGATAGTATGTTATTCAATTTCATCATGATTATAGTTTTTCAACTATAATAATATTAATTAATTAAATTACTTACATTATTTAGGATCCAATAAAAGAAAGCCTAAAGATAAATCATCACCAAGCAAAAAATCCAAAAAATCACCAGCAAAGAAAGAAAATAAAAATACCAGACCAAAAAGAAATTTTAATAAAAACATTTGAATTAAAAAAATAATTTTTATACATTATATCAAAATACCCTTGTAATAAGTACATTTACTCCTTATATCAAGTACGTTTACTCCTTGCATTAAATACGTTCCTTTCTTACATTGAGTATGTTTCTTTCTTACATTGAGTATGTTTACTCCGTACATTGAGTATATTTACTTCTTACATTGAGTATGTTTACTTCTTACATTGAGTATGTTTACTCCGTACATTGAGTATGCTTCTTTCTTACATGTCCTATAAAAAATTTGCATACGGAAATTCCGTATGAATTATAATTTTTATTGCTATGAAATGGTTGTTATAAAAAATACGGAATTATTCCGGAAAAAATTGTAAGATATACGGAAATTCGCAATTTTCCATACACGAGGTTTTATTTAAAAAACGTATCAAATTAACTGAAATTACGTATATTATGTATGGAAAATGATTATTATAAAAGATAGGAATTATTCTGGAAAAAAATTGTAAATATTAATATACGGAAATTTTCAATTTTCCGTATCATGAGAAAAAACGTACACACTATACAATTAGAATAATAAATAAGAAGAAAGTATGTTAAATAAATAACATTATGTTGTACTATTATAATTTATACCACTACCATACATTTCTTTGTCTACTTCGAGGAAAGTTAAAATAGCTGTTTTCCGCTTTTGGTGATTCCTAGAAAGTTAATCAGATTATCTAAACAATACTACAGTACATATAAAAGAAATTTCGAGTAAAAAATGCTATCAATATTATGTATAGTAATAATAAATGTCTATTTCGAAGAAAGTTAAAATAGCTGTTTTCCACTTTTGCTGATTCCTAGAAAGCTCTTATTGAATATCTAAGCCATAATACATATTAAGTATATAAAAGGAACTTCGAGTAAAAAAAATGTTAATGTTATATATAATAATAATAAATATCTATTTCGAGGAAAGTTAAAATAGCTGTTTCCGCTTTTGCTGATTCTTAGAAAGCTCTAATCGAATTTTCACCATACTACATATTAAATATATAAAAGAAAAAAATTACTATTAATAAATTGTTATTAATGTTTTTAAAAAAAAAAAATTCAAAGTACAATGAGATCTGTAAATATAATTGAAATTCTGCAAATATGATTTTATAATGAATTACTCCTACACAAACTATTGAATAATTGATAAAGCTTGCAAAATATATTTAATGTTTTATTATTATCAATTATTCAATAATTATATAGGCGAAGCAAGTGTTCAAGATCTATGAAGTTTGCAAAACGAATGTTTATCAACTATTTAATAATTATATAGGCGAAGTAAGTGTTAGTCAAGATCTATCTTGTCAAATGAATGTTTATCAACTATTTAACAATTATATAGGCGAAGTAAGTGTTAGTCAAGATCTATGAAGTTTGCAAAACGAATGTTTATCAATTATTCAATAATCATATAGGTGGGTTTGATCAAAGTAAATGTTAAAGTTAAGATTTACAAAGCTGCTTGTAAAATATATTTAATGGACATTTTATTATATAGGCGGGTTTGATCGAAGCAAATGTTAGTCAAGATCTATGAAGCTTGCAAAACAAATGTTTATCAATTATTCAATAATTATATAGGCGGGTTTGATCAAAGCAAGTCTTAGCCAAGATATATGAAACTTGCAAAACGGATGTTATCAATTATTCAATAATTATATAGGTGGGTTTGATTGAAGTAAGTATTAAAGTTGGGATCTACAAGGCTGTTTGTAAATATATTTAATCAACGTTTTATTATTGTCAATTATTTAATCTTATATAGGCGAAGTAAGTGTCAGTCAAGATCTATGAAACTTGCAAAACGGATATTTATCAATTATTCAATAATATATGCAGGTTTGATCAAAATAAGTGTTAAAGACAATCTATGAAACTTGCAAAACGGATATTTATCAATTATTCAATAATATATGCAGGTTTGATCAAAATAAGTGTTAAAGACAATTTATACATTTTATTTATTATTTTATAATAAGTAATTTACACATTACGTACATTATACGCGGAATTAAAATCATACTAGTACTAGAACCTTTTCAGTATTAGTACTAATATGTTACAAATTCCGTACCTTATATGCGGAATTAAAATGGATCTTTTCATATTCAGTATACTATAATAGTCGTGTGACATGTCCTAAAAATCAAGGGGCATTTTTTAATGATACGGCGACCACCGAGATCTACACAATTTTTTATTAATAAAATTTCGAATTGAATGTCTTCATACCCTCGTTTGATACCCTTGTCGTGTAGC